AGCATGAGTCACCGTGCCTGGCCTGTGCTTTTTCTTGTTCATATACATGATTTCAGTGTGGTTACATTATATGCAGACTTGAACTCTGTGCTTTTTAAAAGTTTCATTTCATATTCAGAGTTTGCAATGTTGCCTTCTCATCTCAGAAAGTCTTCAAAAATCATGTTATATGCAAGCCTGACTGAGCTGTAAACTAATGTGCTGTTATCCTATGTTGGTATTGGTTAGGCAGTAACAGAAATATCAGCCATCTCTTATCAGCCTTAACCCCAAATTAGGTGACTGTTGAATTATGCAAGATCTTTGCAAATCCATCTTTTTTACAAAATGCAGTTACCTATGTTTAAGATCTTTCATCTATTAAGTTTCAATCAATAGAACATAGGGCTCCATTGTAACCTACTGCATTTCCCAGCACCTTGCAATATTTAAAACAATAGAGGCTCAACTTGTGTTTTGAAAGATGGGCGAATGAATGGAATATTTTTCTTTTTTTTTTTGAGATGGAGTCTTGCTCTGTCGCCCAAGGTGGAGTGCAGTGGTGCCATCTCGGCTCACTGCTACCTCTGCCTCCTCGATTCAAGCGATTCTCCTGCCTCAATATGAAGTATTTTCATAGAAAAGTATAGCATAGAGGTGTTAAACTTTGGGTTTGTGGAAGGAACTATAGTGTCTCTAATCCCCCTGAGAAAAATAGGTGGCATTTGACATGGATGGGGGCATTTTTTCTGGGGAAATGTGGTTCATAGATGGATCAAATTTCCAAAGTGATCTTTGGATCCCCTAATGATTAAGAACCAATATTATAGAGTTTGTAGGTTTCAGGCTTCGAAGATCAGGAAAGTTGAACATGGTGGCTCACACATGTAGTCTCAGCAACTCTGGAGGCTGAGACAGGAGGGTGGCTTGAGCCCAGGAGTTTGAAGCTAGCAGTTCAGCAGTTGTAGACCAGCCTGGTAACATAGTGAGACCCACATCTTAAAAAAAAAAAAAAAAAAAGAGGCTGGGTGTGGTAATCTCAGCACTTTGAGAGGCCAAGGCGGGTGGATCACTTAAGATCAGGAGTTCGAGACCAGCCTGGCCAACATGGTGAAACCTCGTCTCTACTAAAAAAAATATAAAAATTAGCCAGGTGTGGTGGCAGGTGCCTGTAACCCCAGTTATGCGGAATTCGAGGCAGGACAGTCAGTTGAACCGGGAGGAAGAGGTGCAGTGATCTGAGATTGTATCAGTGCACTCCAGCCTGGGAGACACAGCGAGACTCTGTCTCAAAGAAAAGAAAAAAAAGAAGAAAACCAACTCAAGCTTATGTAAAAAAGGAATGTATTGGATTTTGTAACTGAAAACAAAAATACTGGGGAAATTCTGGCTCCAGGAATCCTAGGTACAAATAGTATCTTTAATTAAAGTTTTTATCTCCCTTGCTCTTTTTCTATATTGGCTTTAGTCTCAGGCTTGCTCTTCTCTGTGCTGGAAAAAAGATATGTCAGTCTGCAGCTGAGTCCTGCTAGGTTTTTAGAGTTTAAGAATTGGCAGATGTCACAGAGAAGACTCTGATCAGTCTGGTTTAAGTCATATGCCCACCCCTGGAGAGATGGAGTCATCAGCAATCAAATTACATGGACTGAATATAATTAGCATGAAACTGAAGAGAGAAAGTTCCCTGAAGGAACGTAATGTGTGTAGACAACAAACAAACAAACAAAACAAAAAAAAACACCAGTGTCCTCTGTAGTGACTGAAAAGTTTGAGGACATTTTACAGGCTCATGGGTGAAAAATAAAAGTAAAAAATAAAAAAAAAAGAAAAGTTTGAGGACAGTAAAATAAGTAATAGACTGACAATTTCACATTAAAACTAGGATATATTATAGCGATACTTAAGTTTTTTGTGAATTACAAATTTTTCTGTATGGGTTTTAGTTTTTTTAACTTGAAAAATTTTATTCATTTATTCATTTAACAAATATTTGAGAACCTGTTACGTGCTGCTGTCATCATTCTTTGCACTGCATATACATCAGTGAACAAATCAAAAATCCCTGACTTCATGGAACCCACATTCTAGTGAGGACAGACAGGTAATAAATAACATTGGTTACTGAAATATCATGTTGGATCGGTTTAAGTACTCTAAAGAAAATAAGCAGGGAGGAAAGGTAAGGAGTAGGTATGACAGTTTAATTTTTTTAGTCTTTAGGTTTTTTGAGACCAAGCCTTGTTCTGTTGCCCAGGTGTGAGTTGATCTTTTTTTGAGACCAAGTCTTGTTCTGTTGGAGTGGCATGACCTAAGCTCACTGCAACCTCTACGTCCTGGGTTCAAGTAATTCTCTTGCCTCAGCCTCCTGAGTAGCTGTGTTTGTAGGTGTGCACCACCATGCCCGGCTGATTTTTGTATTTTTAGTAGAAGTGGGGTTTCACCATGTTGGCCAGGCTGGTCTCAAACTCCTGACCTGAAGTGATCCACCCTCCTTGGCCTCCCAAAGTGCTAAGATTACAGGCGTGAGCCACCGTGCCTGGCATGGTATCACAGTTTTAAATAGGATGGCCTAAGAAGGCCTCACTAAGAAGATGACATTTGAACAAAGATGTGAAGGAAGTGAGTAAAGGGTAAGCTGTTTGGATGATAACTGGAAGAAGACAATTCTAGGTAGTAGGAAGCAAGTGCTAAGGCTTGAAGTGTTGGAGGAACTGTATGGAGGCTTGAATCAGAGAATGGGAAGGAGAGGAGTGTAGGAAGAGAAGTAAGGGATGATGTCAAAGAAGCAAGAGAATGGTGGAAGCATATTGCACAGATGCTTAAAAGATATGATAAAGAATGTAAACCACTAGAGGGTTTTGAGTAGAGTAAATTGTTTTTGTTTTTTTTTTTTGAGACGGAGTTTCACTCATGTTACCCAGGCTGGAGT